TATATGCCGAGTTCAATTTATCAATGTTATCAATACTATAAGATCCTACGCATTCCACACATACAGATTTCATAATAAAATAATATAAAATCAATATAATTTTATCAATTTTTGATCCTTAATTTTTAGGGGTACATGGGAACCTGTCAAAATGCCCAGGGCCAAGGGGTACAGAGGAACAAAAAGGTTGGAAATCCATGTACTAGGAAATGGGGGCTACGTATAAATTTATTTAATTTCACAGCAATGAGTGCATGCTAATGATTACATTATATCAACAACCACTTGATAGTATTGTCTGAACTGACTGCCTTTGGTCCTGTCTGAGTCTAAACATGTGCACTGATTGGTTGAATTGAGAGAAAGAAGAAAACAAAACAGCATGAAATCAGTAACGTGTTGTGTAACCACAACACTTCATTCTTAAAAACAAAACAACATGAAATCAGTAACGTGTTGTGTAACCACAACACTTTGTTCTTAAAAACAAAACAACATGAAATCAGTAAAGTGTTGTGTGACCACAACACTTCGTTCTTAAAAACAAAACAACATGAAATCAGTAATGTGTTCCGTAACCACAACACCTCATTCTTAAAAACAAAACAGCATGAAATCAGTAACGTGTTGTGTAACCACAACAATTCATTCTTAAAAACAAAACGGCATGAAATAAGTAACGTGTTGTGTAACCACAACACCTCGTTCTTAAAAACAAAACAGCATGAAATCAGCAATGTGTTGTGTAACCACAACACTTCATTCTTAAAAACAAAACAGCATGAAGTGCTGAATCCACCATTAAAATCCTAGAAACAAAGTTCACTTTCAAACTCAAAAAAATGGTTAAAGAGTCCGGAACTATTCTAGATTCAAGTTCTGTTTAGCACAGCCCTACATACAAATAGAATGTGAGAAAATACTAGGTGTCACAATGAAATTTCAGTCAGCATGGTAACCTGGCACCTGGGATTTGTCAAGGTTTGAGTTAAAAGAAGAGAAATAATAAGTGGTACACTAGATATTGAAATTCTAGTCAGTTCCCTTGTCTAGCCTTTTTACTTATTTATTTAACAGTTTCTGATGCTAGGACAGTTGAAGGGTGAAAGACCGTGTCATCTCACTTTCAGAGTTTTATTGAACAACTATTTTATGTCAAGAGAAGTATAATAATATGTATTTTGTACATTGTTATCAAGGATAGCAGTCAACAAGACAGAAACATTGAGTATTAATAAAAACAATATTCTGGATTTTGGGGTTATGATTCTTTATTATAAAATAAGTTACTATGAGTAGGTGTAATTAATATTCTAAAGCCATACCTCGTACACATGGTCAAACATAGACAGACAGAAGTAATAAATAGAAGCCCAGCCTTTAGGACGAAGATAAAAGTACAGTTAGATACATTAATGATTATAATAAGTTTATACTAAAATTATCAACAATGTAATTAATAAATCTGTGTTAAATTATATCATTATTAATTTCACAGGCTAAAGAACCCATTCGTGTTCTGGTGACAGGAGCTGCTGGACAAATTGCATATTCCTTATTGTTCTCTGTAGCCAAGGGTGATGTTTTTGGACCAGATCAGGTTTGTTTTAGTTCTGGATTACATTACTGAACAGTCTTTTTTTGTTACTTGTCTTAGTTGTGGTGAAAATGGCTGACCAACAACAAACTCTCTCCCTTTTACTAGATTACATTCAAGCCAGGTTTCACCAACATTTTGATGGTTTATATGATTCTGAGTTAATTCATACAAGTTTTATGTATGCAGAATAACACTACTCAGACAAGTGTTATCACTGAACTTTCAGATCTTTCTTTCTGAAAAAAACACATTACTAACTTTTGTTTTTCTAATTTTTATGTAATTTTTGTTGTTTTTCAACACAAATCAATTGGAAAAAGGGCCTTAAAACAATTATACTGCTGTTAAGAGACTGACTTGACTAGTTGGCCCAGCAAGTGTGAGTATAGTAGTTTAGACTCAACAGTAGGTTGGTTGTGTTTACAGTGTGTTGATACTATTTACGAATGTCCTTGTTGTAACGGAAAAAGATAGTTTAATGAGTGCATACTTGCCATATGGCTCTTATAATCACTTGTACCTGTAGTTAGGGAAACTTAACATTTATATGATAAAATATTCCATGGAAAATTCAGAAACTAGTGCATGTCAATAAATAAATGTTGATTTTTATGATGTATTAAATTTTTCTTTTATTAAGAATTTTATTTTTTTAACAACCAGCAACCACAGTATGGCAATATCAATTAAATTGTAAAAAAAAGATTAACAGTAAAGGAATCTATATTAAAATCAGTGATAAATATTGTCCTTCCATTGTCAGCTAGTGGAATTTAAAAATATAAACTAACTCTGGGACAGACTTCTTATCATTTGGCCTTTATACCTAGACCACCTATTATTGTAGTTAAATACATGATAAAAAGCATTATAAGTGAAGATTGACAAGTACAGCTTGAACTCTTGGACAGCTTATTGGTAGTCCTGGGTTCAAGTACTAGTCACTTCCACTTAAAATGTAATGTTATTTCATGGTTAGAGTAAATACAATATTTGTCATGTTACTTATTTATTCCAATAGTCTTACCTCATCTCAATCATTGTTCTGCCCTCTAAGCATTGCTAAAAAAATTTCCAGATCAGTGCACCAGTTTATATACCCCATCAACTTCATGCCATTTCTGAACATGTACTCTTCACCAATAGTATTGTGCCATCTATGTTACCACAGCTAGCTATATCTGCTCAGTCTTCACTTTCTCGATTGGCACTACATCATTTAGACTTGTGTTTTTCCGTGTGTGACTACAATTTCTGATTATGCTTTGTTGCCATTTCTAAAATTTTTTTCAACAGTTTTATTTTTCAGTGTTTGAATTCAATTGTTCAACAATTTTTCCTCTGCACTCTCCTTAAATACCTGGCTCCTGTGTTGTTGGGACTTGTATGGGAAGGATACTTTACTTGTGGGGATGCATCTCTCCCTTTTATCTCTGTAAGATCTACGTCAGACCCACCTTCCTATGCAATACAGTATTTGGAGATTGATCTGATTCCTTAGAATCCAGGATTGATGTGGCTAGATTGCATTATTACTCGTCTTCTGTAGCCACACGTTTATCTCACCCTCTCACTTCTTCCCAGGAGTCCCCTGACCTTGTTTCCTCTCCTCACCCAGACACTTCCCTTCCTCTTGGTGCTCCTGTCCCTACCCTAATTTCTTCTGCTCCCAGGCTGAACAATGCCAGAGTTATACATGACATGACAGAGGTTCCCAGAATGGTAGGGGCTAGATTGCTCCACTTTTCGGCTGTGTGGTGGCATTTCATGACAGATCCATAAATCCTACAGGTGCTGTCAGGAGGTCTCTGCCTTCATTTCAGGTCTCCACCTCCCCTTTCCCATTCCCCTATTTCCTTCCCACCTCCATGGGATCCTTCATATCTCAGTCATCTTAACAAGGCTGTCCACAACCTGCTACACAAACAAGCTATCCAGCAGGTGTGACCCATTCAGCCAGGGTTTTATTCCCATCTCTTTGTAGTGGCCAAGATGATGGGAGATTTGAGACCCATCATTGATCTGTCCTGGTTGAATTCTTTTTTGGACCCTCCTCCCTTCTTAATGGAGTACTATCTCTCAATACGGTGAATGTTTTCCCTGTGACTCTGGAGGACCAAGTTTGATGTGATGGACATCTATCTTCAAGTTTCTATTGCTTCCGAGACATGTTTTTTTTTCTTTGGGTCACAAGAGTGGTGTATTCCATTTCAGTACCCTGCCATTATGACTAACTTCATTGTTTTCTGTTGGGTGGTATGCACTTTTGGCCTACACCTTCCCTCAATGGATCTTCACACTCGTTTTACATGGATGACCAGCTCCTGCTCATTTCTTCCCATTCACAGTCAAGAGTCCACACTCGTCTACTCCTACAAGAAGCAGCATGGGTGGATTTTCTGATCAAGGTGGAGAAGTCTATTTTTATCCCCACTCAATACTTTCTTCATTTGGGGATTTTCTTCAATTCCAGCCTTAGTTGGGCCCAGGATATTACGTGAGTGGTCACAAAGGCCCTCACCTCACATTCTCTCATGGCTCAAGAGTTTCTATCTCTTTTGGAGATGTGGGCTTCCTTGTAAGATCTCATTCCATTGGTTGAGCTCATTTGTGTTCATTTTATTGGACTCTCCTTGATCAGTGGAACTTTTCCTTGGATCCCTTAGACCACCTTGTTACCCTTCCTTCCACAATTAGGGCTGACCTGGCTTGGTGGCTCGACAGCAGGGAGTAGACCACAGCTGGGGTTCCACTTGCTCCACCTCATCTGAATCTACATCTGTTTACAGATGTATCTTTAGAGGGTTGGAGTGCTTCCCTAGACTCAGGAGATTTCTAGTCTCTGATCGGTCAAGGAGTCAACATTCTCAAACTTCTGGAGGTTCATTGAGCTTTTTTCCACTTCCTTCCTCTCCTGTGAAGGAGGGTGCTTGTGATACACTCCAACAACTCCACTGTGGTCAATTATATCATCAAGCAAGGGGGTACCAAATCAAGGTGTTTTAAGACCCTGAATCTCTTTTTCTGGGCCCACAGTCATCACATTGTGGTCTTAGCTTGCCATTTTCCTGGCACCCTGAATCTGTTTGTGGATCAATTATCTCATACCAACAAGATTTCAGTAAGTTTGAAGGGGTCTTCACATCTATGCTTACCCTCCTATTCGACTCCTCTCCATAGTTTTATCCCTAAATTTAACAAAATCGATGTTCTGCCTTTGGTCTATTCAATTACACTGTGTATGTACATAGCTAATTCATTTTATATTTCATTATTGATTACACTGTGTATGTACATAGCTGATTCATTTTATATTTCACTATTGATTACACTGTGTATGTACATAGCTAATTCATTTTATATTTCATTATTGATTACACTGTGTATGTACATAGCTGATTCATTTTATATTTCACTATTGATTACACTGTGTATGTACATAGCTAATTCTGTTTATATTTTACTATTGATTACACTGCCTTTGTACATACCTAATTCTGTTTATATTTTACTATTGATTACACTGCCTTTGTACATACCTAATTCTGTTTATATTTTACTATTGATTACACTGTGTATGTACAAGCTAATTCTGTTTATATTTTACTATTGATTACACTGCCTTTGTACATACCTAATTCTGTTTATATTTTACTATTGATTACACCTTTTAAAAGAAATTGCACTGGTGCACATCCTTTTTTCCACTCATATACGATTGATTTCTTACTTCAAGGCTGAAGAGAATGTACCTGTTCCTGAGGTACTGTAGTACCCCACAAGTGTGCTTTGTTTTCATTGTGGAGCACACCCATCCATTCTGGGCAGTTGCTTTCTGCTTTGTTTCAGTGTTCTGCACTTGCACCATCCCCTCCACCGTGTCAATGTGGGATTCTATTTTGTGTGAGTGGAGTTAGGACCATGTTGGAAGTTAACATTTTTCTTACACTGAAAATATATACATATGTGAAGGTAATTACTTCCACTCGCACAATTCCCACCCTTCTGCCCCACTGCTAGTGTTCTTCTTTTTGAGCCTGCCAATTCTCAAATGTGAAAATTGATTGGAAAAGCAGAAGGAGCTAGCTGTGTGGTGCAATACTATTGGTGGAGACTAGTCAAGTGCTATGTACAGGTCCAGAAATGACTCACAATTGATGGAGTACATAAATTGGTGAGCTGATTGCAAAAACATTTTTAGCAATGCTTAGAGGGCAAAAAAAAAAGATTGAGTGTCAGCCGAGGTAAGTACCTATCAGAAATACGTTTAGGAAATTGTTAACTTTCAGCATTTTTTATTACAATTTTGAAGAATTAAAGATTATAAGTTAGGCCATTTTTCACGAAAAGTTTTGTAGCTATATTAATGATCTTGAATATTTTTTCTAGCCCGTCATCTTGCACTTGCTTGACATTCCTCCAATGATGGGTGTGTTGGAAGGAGTGGTTATGGAGCTTATGGATTGTGCATTCTCCCTGGTAAGAGGTACGTCAAATAACTGATACTCAGATTTCACATATTAGAAGTATGAACAATTTCATAATGAAACCAAGCACTGAATCTGTCTGCATATCATAAGGCCCATGGACATCAGGGACCATTTTAATCAGCAGGATACTCTGTCCAAAGACTGATGTATGCATGTGAAATACAAGCCTAATTTCAAAGTCATTCTTTCATAGTGGGTTACCCAAAGCCCAGGTTTTTCATCTTGTAGCACTTTATAGTAGAATATAGTAAATAATTAATTTGTGATACTTATATAACAGTCTCGAGTCATCATAAATTTACCAATATTTAGAAAATAACTACAAACAAATTACATCAGATATGTAGTGCAACTTGTTGAGTTCAAGCAGTGCTTGATTAAATTAGTTACTGTAGGTGGGTTTAATATTATCCTGAATGTATCAGGTGGTAGTTTTGGTTCTCTAGGTGGGTTTAATATTATCATGACTATATCAGGTGGTAGTTCTGGTTCTTAGGGTGGGTTTAATATTCTCTTGAATATATCAGGTAGTAGTTCTGGTTATGTAGGTGGGTTTAATGTTCTCATGACTATATCAGGTGGTAGTTCTGGTTCTGTAGGTGGATTTAATATTCTCTTGAATATATCAGGTAGTAGTTCTGGTTATGTAGGTGGGTTTAATATTATCCTGAATGTATCAGGTGGTAGTTCTGGTTCTTAGGGTGGGTTTAATATTCTCTTGAATATATCAGGTAGTAGTTCTGGTTATGTAGGTGGGTTTAATGTTCTCATGACTATATCAGGTGGTAGTTCTGGTTCTGTAGGTGGATTTAATATTATCCTGAATGTATCAGGTGGTAGTTTGGGTTCTCTAGGTGGGTTTAATATTCTCATGACTATCAGGTAATAGTTCTGGTTCTTAGGGTGGGTTTAATATTCTCGTGAATATATCATGTAGTAGTTCTGGTTATGTAGGTGGGTTTAATGTTCTCATGACTATATCAGGTGGTAGTTCTGGTTCTTAGGGTGGGTTTAATATTCTCGTGAATATATCAGGTAGTAGTTCTGGTTATGTAGGTGGGTTTAATATTATCATGAATATATAAGGTGGTAGTTCTAATTCTGTAGGTGGGTTTAATATTCTCATGACTATATCAGGTAGAAGTTCTGATTCTGTAGGTGGGTTTAATGTTCTCATGACTATATCAGGTGGTAGTTCTGGTTCTGTAGGTGGGTTTAATATTCCTGTGAGCATGATGTATTGTAATTGCTGAGATACTGTAGATGAGTTTCAGTTCTATAGTAATATGTACAAATTTTGACACTGGCATTAAAATATTTAAAAAAATGTATGATTGATAGTGACAGGGAATTAAGTTTTATGTCTTAATGTAAAATACTGATTTAATATTTTCATGTAAAAAAGTCAGTCAGACTTTTTAGTGCATAGTTTTCATAATTATTATTTAAAGGAGTATGAAGTAGGGATATGTTTGTGTTTATACGATGAATGTGATTTTATAGAGATCATCCCAACATGTGATGAACAGCAAGCTTTCAATGATATTGAAGCAGCATTCCTTGTGGGAGCAATGCCAAGGAAAGAAGGAATGGAAAGAAAGGATTTGTTAGCTGCTAATGTTAAGATCTTCAAAAGCCAAGGAAAAGCACTAGACCAGTTTGCTAAAAAGACTGTAAAGGTATGTGTTTGTATGTAGCTGGGATTTACATATATAAACTGTAAAGGTACATGTTTGTATGTAGCTGGGATTTACATATATAAACTGTAAAGGTACATACTATCTAGGATTTACATATATAAACTAACGGTACATACTAGCTGGGATTTACATATATATACTGTAATGGTGTATGCTTCTGTGTAGCTAGGATTTACATATGTATATACTGTAAAGGTACATACTAGCTAGGATTTACATATATAAACTGTAAAGGTACATGTTTGTATGTATGTTGTATGTCTTATTGTTACTACTTTATATAGTATTGTCACTGTTGTATCTTATTGTATACTACTATATATCAATATTGATACTGTTGTATGTCTTATTGTTACTACTGTATATAGTATTGACACTATTGTATCTTATTGTATACTACTATATACCAGTATTGATACCGTTGTTTGTCTTATTGTGTACTTCTATATATCAGTATTGATACTGTTGAATGTCTTATTGTGTACTTCTATACATCAGTATTGATACCGTTGAATGTCTTATTGTGTACTTCTATATATCAGTATTGATACCGTTGTTTGTCTTATTGTATACTATTACTATATATCAGTATTGATACCATTGTATGTCTTATTGTGTACTATTACTATATATCAGTATTGATACTGTTGTATGTCTTATTGTGTACTATTACTATATATCAGTATTGATACTGTTGTATGTCTTATTGTGTACTATTACTATATATCAGTATTGATACTGTTGTATGTCTTATTGTGTACTATTACTATATATCAGTATTGATACTGTTGTATGTCTTATTGTGTACTATTACTATATATCAGTATTGATACTGTTGTATGTCTTATTGTGTACTATTACTATGTATCAGTATTGATACTGTTGTTTGTCTTATTGTATACTACTATGTATCAGTATTGATACCGTTGTTTGTCTTATTGTATACTACTATGTATCAGTATTGATACCGTTGTTTGTCTTATTGTATACTACTATGTATCAGTATTGATACCGTTGTATGTCTTATTGTATACTACTATGTATCAGTATTGATACCGTTGTATGTCTTATTGTATACTATTACTATATATCAGTATTGATACCGTTGTATGCCTTATTGTATACTATTACTATATATCAGTATTGATACTGTTGTATGCCTTATTGTATACTATTACTATATATCAGTATTGATACTGTTGTATGCCTTATTGTATACTACTATATATCAGTATTGATACTGTTGTATGCCTTATTGTATACTACTATATATCAGTATTGATACTGTTGTTTGTCTTATTGTATACTACTATATATCACAAACAACAGTATCAATACCGATATATAGTAGTATACAATAAGACAAACAACAGTATCAATACCGATATATAGTAGTATACAATAAGACAAACAACAGTATCAATACCCTTATTGTATACTACTATATATCAGTATTGATACTATTGTATGCCTTATTGTGTACTGTGCATCAGTGGTGTAACTTATCATGTGTATCTGTAGAAATACAAATTCTTAACATAAAAAAACTCTGTAGAAATAAACATTGTGCATACAAAATATGCTCACTGTTTGCTGGTACATATTTTGTTTGTGAGTGTGTGTGTACTTGGTAGTTAAAAATAAAATTAGTATTGATAATAAAAAAAATTTTTAAAAATGAGATCATTTTCACCATACACTGATTGATGAATTATGAAATATAGGACCTGATGTAAAGGAATTTATATCAAATCTTACAAGCTTTTTGTTTTTCTTCATACCACTATATATGGGCCTACTCTCCCAAGCATTACTGAAGGTCTATCATTTGGCCAAAACTAAAGTCCACTGCAAATAGAAGAATAGACATTGTCTGTACATCATTCAGTGATTTTCTTTTTTTCACTGAATTTATAAGATTAGTGACAAAGAAAAATTCACAGTCTAATTTTAATGGTCAATATCAACAAAGTTTTTCTGTATTCATTTTATGATGTAATTTCATCGGTTGGTCCTTCAAAGTATGTTAATACAGGCGTAAGAAGAGCATGTATCTAGTAAACACAGCAAAACAGTTTCAAAATGCTCAATGTCACATGATGTAAAAGAGTCACTGAAACTTAAATACACAAGTTTTTAGCAAGGCAGATTATTTTGAGGAGCAAAATATTCATTATTTAGAAAACTTGTGTGTGGAACACTGAGTCATGTAGACCAGTATTAGTACTGTTTGGTCTCCTGTAATTTAGGTTCTGGTTGTTGGAAATCCAGCAAATACCAATGCTTTCATCTGCAGCAAGTATGCTCCTTCCATCCCAAAGGAGAACTTCTCAGCAATGACAAGACTCGACCAAAATAGAGCACAGTCTCAAGTAAGTGTTCTTTTCCTAGTATACTAGGAAAGAACACTTACTTTCATTGTTAACTGTAATGTGAACTTTGTTGTTAATCAGCTGAAATAAGGGAGGGTACAACAATGAAAGTAATGGTTCTTTCCTAGTAAACTGTAATGTGAACTTTGTTAATCAGCTGAAATAAGGGAGAGTAAACAATGAAAGTAAGTGTTCTTTCCTAGTAAACTGTAATGTGAACTTTGTTGTTAATCAGCTGAAATAAGGGAGGGTATAACAATGAAAGTAAGTGTTCTTTCCTAGTAAACTGTAATGTGAACTTTGTTGTTAATCAGCTGAAATAAGGGAGAGTATAACAATGAAAGTAAGTGTTCTTTCCTAGTATACTGCAAGGTGACCTTCGTTGTTAACTAGCTGAAATAGTTGATGGTAAAACAATGAATAAATAAACTAACTAGTATTATGAGCTCTTTATTAACTTGTCTATTATACCAATGTGAAGGGTTTTTGGAAAGATGTTAAGAGTTTGTGAATGGACATGTAAGTATGTGGTTTACCCAGTCTTGCATATCAATATAGAAGTATGAGAATTGATATTCCAATAAGTTATTTTAAAGTGATCATTTTTTAAAAGTAAAAAGACCTAAAATTATTTTCTTCTTTATTCGTCTAGATTGCATTCCGTTTGAATGTGCCAGCTAATAATGTGACGAATGTCATCATCTGGGGTAACCATTCATCAACTCAATTCCCTGATGCAAGCCATGCCCTGGTGAATGTTAATGGAACTATCAAAAAAGTTGGTGATTGCCTGAATGATGATGCTTACCTCAAGGGAGAGTTTATTACAGTGGGTATTTAGTGAACTGTCTGCCTTTTGTAGATTAGTAAAAATCACCTAACTCTTAGTTTCGTCGTGAAACACTCAACACAAGATAGAAACTTCATATTAGTGAGAAAATTCTTTGAATAAAGTGATTTATTTACATATTAAAGAGTTAAATTATAGCAACACTGTTTTGATTGTTCTGAATCAAGGACATTGTGTGCTGCTGTGGTCAGAAAATGGAAATCCAGACATTGACATTGTATTTAGATTTCTGCTATGAAGGGTTTGACAAACTCTGACTTAGGTGTTATAGAAACATGTCTTGTTCTTGGTGCAGATGTGTTATACTGTAACCAAATCTAAAGTTTACAGTGATATTTTTTTTTCCCTGTGTTGTTAATCATTTTCAAAGTTAATTTATGTGGTGTTTAGTGTCAGTACTTAGTGACTTAAAGATGAATTTTACTTATTTGGTCAAAATGCATCATTGAAGATTTTAACACTACGTATTCATTATGTAGTGAGGTAATCTTCCTCACACCAGTTGTTTGTAGGCAGACAGATACATCTTTCTAATTGAAGGTAATCACTCAACCATCTCAATGACACTGTATAGTTTACTTTTTGTGGTCAGGCAGTTAGTCCAGTAATTTTATACAGATGTATTCTTTAATAGTAAGATCTTTTGCTAAATGACATGTGGCTGGGTGGTTATGTAATGTACACAATAAGAATATGTGCTTCAGGATTAACCCACAGATTACCAGATTCTCAAAAGAGGAATAGTTTTAGACAATGGGGGAAGACTTCACAGTTTGGTATCGAACACATTCTCAGCATGAAAACATTGTTTAGTAAAGGAAATGTTGTTTATTTAGGGGTTATTTATTTTCATTACATATGTGCGTATATGCACATGTGCTTTTGAAACATTGTTTTTTTTAAGTTATTAGTGCATGGAACTAGATTGGGGAAATGTATATAAACACAAAAAATAATGAAGTATGGTGCATGTGTGTTTTACTGTCCAATGTAAACTAAAGCTATAACTAGACTTCTATTTACAACTTTCCTGTGGACTGTAACATCTATAACTAGACTTCTATATTCAACTTCCCTGTAAACTGTACTGTTGTACCATCTATAACTGACTTTTATATACATCTTCCGTATAGATTGTACTGTTGTTCGATCTGTAGCTACACTTGTATATTCAACTTCTGATACAGTACTTACCTTTTCACATAAGATTAGCTATTGTTCAGTGCTGCCCTCTATATGCAAACATTTTCTTTACACATGCCACAAACCTTGCACTTCCCCCTTGTGGAATTAGTACATTCCAATGTGTGTCTCATGTAAATCATTATGCATCATCTATTAACCAAAAGTAGCATAGTATGCTAACATGACGCATGTGACTCCCTCTATACCCCTCTACCAAACTTTCACTTCTCATTTGGAAGCTTTTGAGAACAAACATTTTCTTTTGTGCTTCGCGTTCCAGTTTGAAATGGTTCTATTTTTTAATTTTTTTGGTTATACATTACCACATTTCTCCCAGTTTATTATAGTTGCTTTTCTGCACTAGACAGTTTTGTGAAGTTTTCATGAGTTATGAATTGCAAAGTCCACATTATCACTTCAGGGGTCACACCAACAACCGATCTTCAATCTCAGGTGTGAGTGACACGACTGTGGATCATTCTGATTTTGTCCATAGGGAGATTGAACATTACTTGACATCACCTGAGCTCCTTCAGAGTCTGCTGACATTATTCGCATGAAGACAATTTTGGTCGTCTTTTATCTCCTCTCGTATTTGCCTTTCCTTCCCAGTTCCAGCCCGATGATTCACCTAGGCCTTGTGATGTTTTGTCTCTTTCCCCAATTTCTTATTCCCCTCATTCTTCTTTGTTGCATGAGCATTCTTCTCAACCATTTTTGGTATTTCCTCCTTCTCCTGATATTTGTGTCCATGTGAATCACTTTCTCTCACACTTAGGTGAAGGGATCAGTATGCCACTACCCTGAGAGCCTGTGATCAGTACGCCCTTGCTTACCATCGGGGGGGGGGGATGTCCGTTTTTGGATCACCAATTGTTGTGTTCCTTATTACGTCTTTCGGGGTGGCTCCCAAATCTAATGGTAGTCTCACACGTGCTCAATATTCTCACCTTCGTCTTACTCTCAATACCTTTCTCTGGTATCTGTCTTTTAAGCATCTCCTCTCAGAGGCTTTCCACAGAAATCCCTTTGCCTTCTCTCTTCCACTTTGGCCCGTATTTCTTCCTCGGCTATGTCGTTACATACGTGGTTTCTTTGTCGTTGAGACCTTATTGGTAGAAACTCCATTCTGGCTCTTGTTAATTTACCTTCCATTTATCTGAAGGATTTGTGTCTTGCTCCTTTTCTTCAACATTATGTCTTTGACACTGTCCCTGATGATATCGAGCCACAGGTAACATCCACCCGACAAAAGTCCACCCTTTCAACTTTTGTGGCCCCTTTGTATCGACCAGAGCCTTCCATGCCACCTATTCCTGCTTTGTGTCCTTCATCCTCCCATTCTTTACCCGTTCCTTCAAATCTGGGTACTTCTTTTCATCGAGGTTGTTGCTGATGCCTCATCCATCATCAACAGTACTGGTGACTACCCATTGGGTTCAGGGCCTGTAGAAGCTTGATTGTTGGATTTCTTACTTCCTGGCTCCCTTTTGTTGAGGATCAATGGGTGACAAAGGTTCTTTCAGAGGGACTCATGTTTTGCCTCACCCATTTTCTTTCCTCTTCAAGATCCCATGACTTGCCAGCATCTGTCAGAGGCAGTTCCTGATTTGCTTTCACAGCAGGCTATCGAACTTATTCACCATCCCATGGAGAGGTTTTACTCCTGTCTTTTCGTGGTCCCCCCCAAAAAAAAACTGGGGATTGGCAACTAGTCATTGATTTGTTGTGCCTCAACTGCTTCATTGCACTCCCCAAGTTCACTATAGAATCCTTTCTCACTCTGAGATGGGTGTTTTCCCCAGGATTGGGCATGACAAGAAAAGATGTTTTCAATATCCATATCCACATCCCGATCGCCCTTCAATCCCATCTTTATCTTCAGTTTGTTTACCAATTTTGAGCTCTCCCCTTCGGACTTGCCTTTGGCTCTATACGTGTTTTTTCACATTCCTCGGGCCTTTGCACGTCATATTCATACTTTAGGGTTGCAGTTTCATCTTTACATGGATGACTGGCTACTTCTAGCTCATTCCGAGCAGAAATTGACAAATCACACTCACCAACTTCTTTATGTGGCAGCTCAAAAGAGCTGGTTGATAAAATTGGAGAAGTTAGTACTTAATGTATTTGGGGGTCTTCTTTGACACCAACATCAGTCGAGCTTTCCCTTCTCTTGTATGCCTCAGTTCTGTGGAACTTTTAGTTCAGTGTGCCCTTACAGCTCGAGAAGTCTATAGCTTTTGGGGATGTGCATGGAATCCTCTTTCTGCTACCATTTCCATTACTCCTTACCTGAGAGTCAATCTGCTGTGGTGACTCAACAAAGCTCATACATTGGTGAGCGTGTCATCCCCCTCTCCCTCCATTTGAACCACTTGTCTCACGTTCCTTAAGACTTGTCCCTTAAGACCCATTTCCATCTCCTTTTGGCCTGTGGACATTGCTGATCTGATTTATTTGCCATTGACATTTCATTTACCCTTTATCATCCTACCTATCTTCTCCTTTATCCTGATCGTGCCTTTCTCCCTAAAACTGGCAGCTTGTGAAAGTTGTTCCTTCTTTTTCCCAACCTTATATCTCCCATCTTTACCCTCATCCATATCCCAATAGACTGCTGTGTCCCATCAGGACCCTATGGTGCTATTTTGTATGTACAGCTACCTTCCGGGATATGTGCAACCATCTTTTCATTCCCTGGCAATTTTCCTACTTTCATGATCTTTCCCCTTCTACCCTTATGAATTGGGTCTGCCTTCTGGTCTGTTTGGCCTACTCCTCTTTACCTGCTTCCTCTCGTACCTTGTTCTATGTGTCCTCTCATCAAATTCGGCATCTCAGATTTTCCCTTGATTCCCATCTTTGTTGTCCATTGGAGAAGCTTATCCAAGTTGGTATGTGGACCACACCCAGTACATTCATCTCCCATTATCCTCATCACATTGTGCTTTCCTCCTTATCAGGGTTTCGTCTTCTACCTGTGACTATGCTCCAGACTTCGGTGCAACTTTAACTGGTAAGTTTTATTCCTTTTCCTCTTTTTCAGGGAGCTTTCTTTATTCCCTCTTTTTTCACATAGATCCCACTCTATGGTGAGTTGTGTCTGACCAGGTATTCTTTCACTTAAAATCCACACTGTAAGCCATGTTGACTCGCACTCTCTTGTCAATAGCTCCGCATTGTCACCATAGAGATGGGGTGTTCCATAAGATTGCTGGAAGGTTATCTATCTCATGATAGTTGCTTCATAAATATTTCCGTTTCTGGACTGTACCACCCATGGATGGCATGGGTAAAGGAGAATGGGATAGCTGCCCATCCCGGCCATACTTTGAGTGAATAACTCAGTATGGTCTGCTTTTCAAAATAGGGTTTCTTGGTCACCCATTGCACTGTCTCCAGTGATGACATTCCTCTGGACCCTCCAATGCATTCTCACCCCCTTCTTCAAGTGGAGTATGGGAGTTCATGCCACTTTCAAGGTACTGGGGTGGTGGACTATGGAAGCACCCTTCTGAATGGGTTCCACTAATAAGTTGGATATAACCATTCAGTCAAGAGTAGGGTGGTGGTGTTCTGCTGGTGTAGATGGAGAAAAGTATACCTGGCTCAGAAGTGGTGTGCTTCCCCCCCCCTCTGATCTCCAGATCTCTGTCTTATGGTCAGGGGTATCCTTTGGACACTTTCTGGGGTGCTTCTGTTATTCCCTCGCACTGCCCCCCTCTTGTGAGTGAAGGTAAGTACCATATTGGAAGTTATAATTTTCCTATACTGAAAATGTATTTATGATA